AGTCCGCGCGGCGTCCGAGGAAAGCATGACTAAGAAAGGGGGTCGCTACACCCTTTTCGAACGACTGGACTCCTACGGCGTTATCGTTAATGTTTCGAAGTGTGAGTTTGGAGTCCCCGGCCTAGTTTTCTTGGGCCACGTAGTGGACGCAGCTAGGATACAACTCGTCCCAGAAAAGGTTTCGGCAATTGCAAAATTTCCAGTTCCTACGACACTCTACCAATTATGTCGCTTCCTGGATATGGTAAATTACTACCATTTCTATCCCACGGTGCCAACGTCCTGCAGCCGCTCAACAGTCTCTTGGCTTGTTCAAAGAAAATGCTGACGATTAGCAACGAGGCCGTCAAGTCCTTCAGGGACGTCAAGGCCGCTCTTGCGAAGGCAACTCTCCTTGCCCATCCCCACTCAGATGCTCACTTAACTCTCACGACAGATGATTTTAGCCCTGCCGTTGGTGCATCCCTCCAGCAAACTGTTGGCGATGTTCTTCAGCCTCTGGCTTTCTTTTCAAAAAAGCCTAGCCCAACAGAGACTCGCTACAATGTCTTCAACTGTGAATTTCTTGCCATTTACCTATCCATCCAAGACTTCAAACACTTTCTTGAGGGTCGTGAATTTGTCGTACTCACGGATCAGAAACTCCTTGTTTTCGCTTTAAGAGCTGCCCCTGATCGTTACTCACCTCACGAGATTCATCATCTAGACCTCATCTCTCAGTTTTCCTGTGACATCCAACATGTCCACGTTAGGGAAAATGTAGTTGCTGATGCCCTATCAGGAACCTCGATGAACTCCGTTGCAACAAACCAATAACAAACCACTTGAACTTACTTCATATTCATGCAAAAGCAGCTGCCAACATCACAACATACACTCGCACACCCTAGGGCACGATTGGACGCCGTCAACACCAGCCATGGCTTCAGCAGTGGCCACTGCTGTCTGAGACAGCGATGCAGGGTTCTTTACACAATAAAGCCCGCATTCTGGTGACTTCTGCCTTTTACCTTCCACCTGGGATTCGACCTGATGATTGTAGTGATCCGAGTACAACCACTGCCTAGACCGCTACAGACTGCAATTATTTTGCATGAAATATCTAGCCAACGTCGTTGGTTTTCGTTTATTTCCGCCGATTGATAACTTCTCATATTCAGTATTTCAAATTGTGTGCTCGCGCTTTACGCCTTACTGGTGTAATTAAAAAAGTTAGTGCCGTGAATATAGTTTTTTACCCTTTTCTTCACAAAAATAGCGGCAAAGGTAGTTTAAGTAGTGCACCTCATATACCTCTAGTCCCAGCACTTTGTCCTACACAAACGGTGGTTTAAAAGGTTTTGGGGTAGGGAAACAAGACAGGTAGTGAAGGAAATTTATAGAAGTAAGTGGAAAGTGGAAAAATGTAGTTAAATTTGTTTCCTGCGGCCGCTGGAAGTAAGTTGCTCCGCATTTAAATTGCAGGTGTGCGCGGCGCTTCGCGCCGCGGACTATACTAATCTAACTGCAAAACGGTAAGTTTCTGAGGAAATTAAAAGGCTAAAATTTCAAAATTGGAGTAGATATCAGAAAGCACGCAGGGAATGGTGAGCTGGATCCCTCACAGCTGAGTCAAGTAGCGACAGAATACCGGCCAAACCCGTGTCTGGGCTTTTAGTCAGGACTGAGAGTCGAGCGTTGGTAGCTCCTCACTAATGTGGCCTGTACGGCAGCCTTACTGGTATGAACTTCAAGATCTCCTGAAAGAAAGCCTCATTCGCGCAAAGTTATGGGTCCAGGTCGTATGCAGAACGCGTATAAAGGCTAGTTAGCTTTGCCAGTCACTGCACCCACTCGTGGGACAGAGCTGGACGTCGTCGCTTGCGACAGTGGAAGTATTCCGCGTTGACCCTGTAATACTACATCAGCATAATTTGGGGCATTTAAAAATTTCTTTAAGTCTAGAATGTCAGAGAAAAAGTGGCTGAACTGGACTCCGCTTTTCAAAAAGCAATGTCTCTTCCTCTCTACAAGAGAACTGCTTTTGTTTAGAGATCAGAAACGCTACTCTGCTTTGTCGTT